ATAGTTCAGAAACGCTGGGGCTGGGCCCAGCAATCTGTCTTAACAAGATGATTCTGATGCACGCTGGAGTTTGAGAACCCCTGCTAGAGAAAACAACAGCCAAACACAATTGGGAGCAGCACTTGTAAGAAATGCTGTGAAGGCTGCTCGGATAGAAAAGGAGGCTTCAAGCAGGAGGCATCTGTGATGTCTCAAGTCACTACAGGCACCTCACAGTATCCCAAAATATCTCTCAAATTGGGTGAAATGTCTCTTGGCTCTGCTGTTGAGGAATGACACATGCAGTGACACCTCCTCAGAGAATATATTTGGACTTTCCAGGCACTCCATCCCCGGATGTAAAACCCACCTCCCCCCTAACTGCCGGCCATCCAGGAGGGGGAACAGGGAGGCATGACAAACCCATGTGTCTGGTTCATCATCAGTAAAATCACTGAGAAGAGTAATCAGATTTGACTGATCTTTGAGTCTTGCCTGCTCTGACATTCCAGAATTCTACATGTGTAATGTTCACCATATAGTTATGCAAAGGTTAGTCGTCAAGGGGCTCCGAGTAAGGGAAAGAAGCCAGCATTGTGCTAGGCATTTTACACATTTAATCCTTACAGGAACCCTCTGAGGAAGGCGCTAGACCTGTTTATAGAGAAGAGAACTGAGGCTCTGAGAAGCTAAGCAGTTCAAACAAGGTCTCACAACTAGGATGTAGTTAAAGGGTTTCAGCCCATCTACCTGGCTCCCAGAGTCATGCTCTTTCCACTGTGCTGACATCTTCTGGGTCTGAAATTGGGGAAAGACATTAAGAGGATAATGACCAGGCCCTGGCTGGTTTGGCTCAGTGGATAGAACATTGGCCTGTGGACTGAAGGGTCCTGTGTTCGATTCCGGTCAAGGGCACATCCCAGGGTTGCCGGCTCGATCTCCATTAGGGGGCATGCAGGAGGCAGCCACTCAATGATTCTCTCTCATCATTGATGTTTCGATCTCTCTCTCCCTCTCCCTTTCTCTTTAAAATCAATAAAAATATTTTTTTTAAAAAGGAGGGTAATGGCCAGGAGGTGGGAAAAGGTGTAAAGCCCGCCCCTCCCTACTGAGGAATGGCAGACAAATGAGGGCAAAGGTCATCCAGGTAACCCTACCAGCTTCTGTGTGAAGCCATTAATGGAATCCATTTGTTACAAGACAAAATTTGTGCCTGTCTAGCCTTGCTCCTGTGCTCTCATTTTGTATTAGTCTTAAAAAAAAAAAAAAAAAGGCCAGGCCAATCACAACAGTAATTTTTACATTTATTATGCTCTGTTATTGCCAGGCACTATGCTAAGCACTGCTCACGCATTATCTCACTTACTCCCCATGTCAACCCTGTGAAATAGATATGATTATTCCCATTTACAGCTGAGGAAATAGAAGCTTAGAAAAGTTAATTGATACGAGATGGAGCAGAGCTTTGAACCACAGTCTAATTTCTGACTCACTGGACTACCTTCCAGGATAAGTGTTCTTTGGGTCTGTCTGACCAGCATACTCACTAACTCTCACATGTTCTCTCTCTTTTACACACACACACACACACACACACACACACACACTTTTCTTGCTCATCCCTTTCTCTCCTTCCCCCTTTCCCTCTGAAGATGCTGAAATCTAACCTCCAGTTCACTCTCCTCTGAGCACAGACAGCTGAGTCAGCCCCACCCCTGCTCTACCCCTACCCTTTCCAGTGGCCCTACCTGAAAGTCACCAACAAGGCACTCAGCTTCTCTCATTGAAGAGAGACTTGCCCAGTCCCCTCCCATGCTCTAAGTGCCCTTCCTCCTTCGGCATCACCAGCTCCCTCCCAGGGAACTTTACTAGTTTTGTCTATAACATCCCTGTGAATGGGTTGTTTTCTGGACCATTCAGCCCTGGGTTCCTTTTTGAAATCCAGAACCTTTCATTCTGGTGTCCCCATTCCAATCCAAACATTTCACGTTGTATCTAAAAGGGTTTTCAGGATAGTGGGTACATCTGGAGCCTCTGCCTGTCTAGATAACTAAAGCCTAAGTAGAAGGCATTTGGCAAGCCTGGGCTCCAGGCTCTATATGTCTGCAACATAAAAGCAGCACAGAGTCACTGGGCAGCTATGGGCAGCATGAGCCCTCCTTGGAGAGATGCCGGGCAGAGGGGAAGGGGAGCTGAGAGGTGTGGAGCATAACATGCATGCAGAGGAGGGAGAGAAGGACTCAGGCAAGGAAAGCTAGACCTGCAAGAGCCAGGGCCATGTGGGCAAAATCGGGAGTGAATGTGAGTAAACTGAAAACCACAGTCAGGGTGTAGAATACCAGGGGGAATATGGCACTAAGCTAAGCAAATGGCTGGTCCAATAGCTCTGTATATAGTCACGTACACACTCATACACACATAGACACACTAACCGTGCCTCACGGCATCTCTCTAAGGTCTGCATACTCATCCCCAAACTCAAGAATGACAACCAGCTCTTACAGAAAGGACCCAGCCTCAGTTGCTCAGTCCATGTGCAATCTGTGGGCTCACTGCTAGGTTTTCTAGGGCCACTGCCCCTCCCCCTTTCTCTGCTCAAAGAGCAACCCATCTTCCCACCTCTTGCTCCATTGCATAGAAACCAGCTCTGGCCTGAGCTTCAGACAGTGATCTTGTGGGATGTCAAGTATCTCCTCTAAGGTTTAGAATGAGTCTCCCTGAAATTCAGTTCTCAGTTACCCCTCCATGGAGAGGGCCACCACACCCTGGGGACTCTAGAGGCCATCTGGACACTCCTACACACTGCTTTCCTGTGGCCAGCTCTCCCTACCTCCTGCATGACCTTACCTGTAGCAGGCCAGCCACAGCACCTCGGGAGTGGGTTTCCTCCCTTAATTCTTTGAAAGCTCCATCCTTCTTCTGCCTGGGGTTGAGACCCCTCAGTGTCTGCCTTGTTTGCTTTTTCTAGGAGCATTAACCTGTCCAGGAGTCCACCTGTCCACTACCCTATCTCATGCCTCTCAACCTCCCTTTCCCTAAGAGGTATCTAACACACAGGGCTGGGGAGGTGGTGTAGATCAATACCTGCTCTCACTCCCCCATCACTGTCAGCACCTCCTGGGTGCAAAGGTTCATCTGTAGAGTCTTTGGAAAAGGGGGAAAGGTAAGCAAAGCATCCTCAGTAATGGCAAGTCAGAAAAGCACCCTAGGGAGACACACCTCTCACACACCTTCCAGATTCTTCATCCTCCTACATTTCCTGTACTGGGTCGGGGGAGCTCATGGGGCCCCTTCCATTTACACAAACCCCCTAGTTAGTGCAGGGGCTCTAGCCTTTTTTCCCACACAGCTCTGACTCATCCTCCTCCTTTTCAGCCTCTTCCATCATCATTATGATTCAACAGCTCACTCATAGATTAGGTGAAGGCAACAGCCTACTGGCCGAAGCGTGGCATGGCAGACTAGTTAAGGCCTTATTGTTTGGCATCAGAAAGATTGAGTTTGAGTCCTGAGCTCTGCTAATTACTAGCCAGCCAAATGATGAACACATGCAATCATGGGCAAGCTCCAGTTTTGTCATTTATGAAATGGGCAAATTAATAACTTTTACTTCATAGAACTGTAGGAGAATTGATTGGCAGTATATAGTAAAGCACTTGAACCTTGCCTAGTGCATGGGAAAAATATCAATAAGCAGTAGCTATCTTCATTAGCTGGGGAAACTCATCATAGTTTTGATCTAAAAAGAAAGTATCAACTGTGGCATTCCACAGGGATCTGGAGGCACGTGCCCATGAAGTCAGTGGCCTGGCCTGAATGTCTAGATACCCAATTTTCCAAGTAATGGCAAACACAAGGAAAACTGGCAGGCATCTTAGGATTTTAAATACTTGTCTGTGAGTGAAACAGGAAATGCCAGCTCTCTGTCTAACATAGAGGAGGGTGAGAGGATTAAGGAGGCAACAGTTTCTTTATAATTTGTTTAGAAGAATAATGTTCTGCTAGAAATATATTTCAACCATCATCTGACTGTCCCTTAAAATCTCATTGTCTATTGATCACAGGAAAGTTACCCCATTCTCACTGCCAGCAGAACCATTTGGTCGATGCCATGAGCATCCTATTGGTTGGGTCACTGATGACAGCCAGTGACAATGAGCAGGACAGAGCAGAGTCAACCTAGAAACCCTGCTGGGATTGGTCTGCGTCTCCCTGTGTCCAGGCAGGTCTAGTGTGAACAGTTGCATGGGTGGGCGTCTACATTTGGTCTCAGGGGGACACAGCACTATGACCATAGGTCCCAAATTCTCTGGCAGTGTCTCCACTCCCCACATTGCCCCCAATAATGGTGGATTGTTATATGTCCCGAAATGTGATATGATTTTTATGCCTCTTAAGGTTCCTTAAGTCAATTTGCAAATGTGAAAGAAGAAACCATTTATCAGACTCTCTGAGAGAATACATATCTGGAAGGTATAGTCACCAAGCTCCTAGTTTAATAAACGGTTGAGGTGCTATTTATTTCTGAGACTGAATGACAAAATTGCACCAGGTGGCTTTATCTGAGTCCCACTACTGGTGAGTCAGAACACACCACACACACACACACACACACACACACACACACACTCTCACACACACCCCACTTTCTCCCAGTAGCTTTTTGTTCAGAAAGGGTATGATGTGGGAGGGATAGCAGGAATGAATGGCACCCATATAATGATTTTAGCTTCCTCTCTGTTTATTCCTTAGTGTTTTGAGGTCCCTGCTGTGAAATGGGGTGTGCATTTCCTTCAAGGAGGGTACCCCTTTCAATGGAACATCATAAAGGGGAGGCTAACAACACCCCTGGGTGACAGCTGGTAACACACCCCCTCTTCACACACACAAACACATTCACACACACACACACACACACACACACACACGCACAGGGAAGAACACTGTGAGCAGATTTCACAAAGAGATGGGCAAGGGGAGGGGGAGGGGAGAACAATCCCCAAAGGCATAGGGCTGTTTACCTTCCCATAAATCCACTGTTTGAAAAATGTCAGTGGTCCTGACGCCGTAGGTCTCTGCAGCTTTTAGGAACTGGGAGATCTGCTCCATCTGCTTAAAAGCCATCTTGGACTCTGAGATCTTGGCAATGGGCTCTTGTCCAGGTGGGTATAAACTGTTTATCAGCTTGCACAGGACCTGAAGGGGAAAAGGCAGGGACACTATCAATTTTCCCTTCAATATTTACCCACCACTAATGCAAAGTGAACCCTGGCCCCCACCGGACACAGCTGAGAGGTTTGACACAGCCAAGCCTTGGGCCCCAGGCAGGCATGAGGTCTAGGCTGGGTGGCCAAGCTCCCATACCAAACCCCAAAGACCCAGGCAACCCCATCCCAGGGCTGCTGCTGACCTCAGCGAGTCCAGTAGCCCAGGAATCCTTCCATCCTTGCTCCTCCCTTCCTTTTTCCGGGTGAGGGCAAGAATGTTTACAGATAGGAAATGATGTGCAGGGACGAGGCCATGATTTCAATGCAGGGATGAGCTAGTGGTGGCGCCCAGGGTGGTCAGATGATAGCGTCTAAGATTATTTCTGCTATCGAAAGGCAGATCCGAATCAGCCTTCAGTAACTCATCCCATATATGCTAATGATGTATACACAAACGGAACAGGGTACCCTCCTCCCAGGTACCTATCACCCAAGTGCTGGGCAGCCCAACAGAAGCCTGGGATAACAGTTATGTAACAACAGTCAGTCACACCCTGACGGGAAAAGATGGGCTTGTTTGAATCAGCAGAGCCTGCGGTCCCCGATTCCCCAAACACAGGAACATCTGGTCAGAAAAGCAGTTATCAAATAAGCATTCCCTTCAGTTCCCTGAAAGCCCCTCCATTCACCAGACAGACATGGAGCACCCCTGGGGGGCATGGCTCTGGAAGGAAGGTGGTGAGTCTCCCCGCTCCTTTGTTTTACTATGTAACCAACCATTCCCCTGGGGAAGGGATGGCCCCAGATGAGTTGATGCACCAAAAAGGCTGAAGCGATCTCAAGGAAATATTTACCTCTATTCTCACTAGAAGAGCAAAAGGGCTTCGGATTTGCCAACAGCTCAGAAGGCAGCTGCTGTGTTGGATGGGTGGAGAATCCCCTGAGCTAGCTCCGAAGGGGGTGGGGGGGGGCAGATCTTCCAACCCCGAGTAAAAGTCAAGGCATTTCCATGCCCTCCCAGGGGACCCCCAGCGGGCAGCAGCTGCTCCCCCCGCAGCCTCACCTGAAAAGAGAAGGAAGGCCCCGGAGGCTGCCCTGCCCACCGATCCCGCCGTCCTTACCGTCCCGTCCATCAGCCACTGCTGAAAATGGGCCCTGCCGGGGGGCGGGTGCTCGATGTCCTCGGCGCACTGCAGGATGATCCAGTCAACCAGCTTGTTCTCCAGGTCCGCGTCGTACTTCTGCTCGATCTTCTCCTGCACCTCTCGGCTTAAGCCGTAGCTCGGGCCCCGGTTAGCCATCGCTCAAAGAAGAGAGGACACGCGCGGCATCCACACAATAGCGCGGGGCTGGAGGTGGCCGGGCCGCCTGGCCCCGCGGCAGCACAGCGGGCAGAAAACCGGGCGTGGTTTAAATCAAGGAGCCAATGAAGCCACGGGGATTTCACCTACAAACAAGAAAGAAAAGCGCAGCCACGCGCCAGCGACTCTAGAATAAAGCCCCTGCGGGTCCGGGGGGAGGGGGGCGCTGGAACCCGCCTCTCGGTCCCGCCTATCAGCCCGAGGAGATGATGCGCGGGGACTCACATTCACAGGCAGCAAGGGAGCTGGGGGGTCGTTTCTCACTCCTTCCAGTAGCACTTTGCAGTGGCAGGGACCCTGAGATGGGACGGAGCAGGTGATTAACAGGCAGAGAGGACGGCCGCTTTGAGGGTCAGCTGCCTGTGCTGCATGGCTTTTGCTAGAATGGTGCACTGATTCGATTTTCTCCAGGCTGAGGGAGGTCACCCCAGGGCCGTTGCTAAGAGCCCTCCCAAAAGCCAGCCCTCTCCTGTTGTCAGTCAAGCCCGCCGCCTCCCTCCCGCTGAGAGCTTCTTTCTCAGCTGCAGGATTCTTGCCCCTCCTCTGGGGGACGGGCCCCTCGGATCCCAGGCCAGCGCACAGCTGCACTGGGGATGGGGCCTGGAAGAGGGTCCATGCAGTCAGCTGTCCATCTGTCGGAGGTTGCCAAGCCACTTCCCCCTGCCTGAGGGAACAGTTGTCTGGCAGGATGGGACAGGAGGGGCTGAGAGCTGCAGCCATTAACTGGCTCTGCTGCCAGCCAGATTTCATCCAGAAACTTCCATCCTGTGGGAAACTGTTGTGCCTTAGGTTGACTTATTCAAGGACTGCAGCTTTTTAATACTGTTTTTACTAGAAAAACACCGAGAGCATGTTTTATAAATTAAAAAGAGCTCAATATGCTAAGAACTCTTGGAATAAAAGATTTGGATAGGGTGTAAAGATTTTATTTTCATTAAGGAACAGTAGAGGACAACTAATGTATTATCAGTGGTAACTATGTTTGCAAACAAGACTTCAGAAGAAATCATCAGACTTATGTTGACCTGAAACTTTTTTTATAACTGTTAAAGGGTTTGGCAGTTTATCTTCCTAGTCTGGGAGTAAAGATTGAGTCTTACTGGTTTTGTCTAAGTCTCTGGGTACTTATCGTGAGAGAAACAGCCAAAAATGGTTCTCTGGCCAAAACCGGTTTGGCTCAGTGGATAGAGCGTCGGCCTGCGGACTGAAAGGTCCCAGGTTCGATTCCGGTCAAGGGCATGTACCTGGGTTGCGGGCACATCCCTAGTAGGAGATGTGCAGGAGGCAGCTGATCGATGTTTCTCTCTTATCGATGTTTCTAACTCTCTATCTCTCTCTCTTCCTCTCTGTAAAAAGTCAATAAAATATATTTTTTAAAAAATTGTTCTGTGGTTCATTCAACAAACAGTTTTTGAGCACTTAACTGTTTCAAATACTGTGCTCGAGAGGAATAGAGTATAATTCTTGCCTCAGGAATGATTGATCATTTGACTCAGGCACATTAGATAAAACAATTCTAGTACATGGGGTGGTGATCTTTGTTTCTGTGGGAAATTGATTAGAAGCTGTGCAGGAAATGACTCCTCAAATAATACATGTATTGCAAAAAAATCTACTGCTGGCTGGAGCCTGGACTAGTGAAAATTTAATTACTTAGTACATAAGTGGTGGGTGTGCCTAAGAAAAGACTTAGTGGTCAGTAGTTGAAGGCTTAGGGAAGAGAATTCTGAAAAACTAAGGGTTGTGGGAGATTCAGGAGTTTTGAGGAGAGCAGCCAGTTTAAAAAACAGCATGAGAAGGGCTGACTAATGAAGGTCTTGATGCTGCATGGAATCCTCAGTTGGAGAAGTTCTACAGACAACAGAACTCTCTCCAGAGACTTCGAGCTTAGGGAAAGGGAGGGAAAACTGTCAGCAGAGTACTGAGTTGCATCATGGGTGGCAGCAATAAGGGCAATTGCAATCTCAGACTAAGGAAAGGGAGGCCCAGGGAGAAGGTATGTCACTTTCTCTGCAGCTGGAATTACTTTAAGGAAGATGTTGGTTTGTTAATAAAGATAGAAACATTCTGAAGGAGGTGCATTTGCCCCCATTTTATATTTTTTCAGGCTATGCTTTGCAGCTCTTTTATACCCAAAGATTTCTTCCCATTGTAACAAAATAACTGGGTGCTTTAAGTGAATACTTGAGCTCAAGGTTCTGGAGAGGATATGGCGCCAGCAAGGTATAGGTTAGATGTGTCCAGAAATTCACAGGAAGTTATTACAGAAAAGAAGCTTGATTCCCTGGAGGAGTGACAATGGAAATTGGTTCAACCCTGTATTTACTGAGTGCCTACTAGTATAGTTAATTTTTCAACATAGTTTTTAGGGCCCATGTATTGAGATTTAAAAAAATGAATGAGACATGGCGACATGGTTTAGTAGCCAAGCTAAACTTGTAAACAATATGTGCCAGCCAGGTATCATGCTAAAACTATACACAAGATACAAAGGTACAATTATACCTAGAGGAAGAGGGTAGGGGATTATGGAAAAGGTTTATAAGTGAAATGACTTTAAGTCTTAAAAGATGAGTATGTGTTTGCCCGATGAATGGGGCAAGGTATTTGCTAGGGGGATGGGTGAAGGCAAGGGGGGAAATGTTAGTGGCAAAAGCAGCTTAGTTAAGGTGAAAATGTTCTAATATCCACAAAGCAAAGGGTTAAAGGGAAGAGACACACAGTAAGAAAAATTAGTCTGGCATGTCAGGCAGGCTCCAGATCATGCAATAGTGTGGTTGCAAATGCCCATGGTTAAATTTCTAGGAATTTTGAGGGCCAATGTTTAAATTCAGCCATTATAAACAATTAAATTATATAAACTTACACTTAAATAAATTATATTACAAACCAAAGTCAAATACTCAAAACAGATCACAAAGTTATTTTGCTATGTTTTAATATTACCTTTGTTTTTTAGGATATTTATATTTATCGTCTCTATATAGTTGTCCATGAAAGAATGTTCAGCCTAAGAAAAAGTCTTATAAGAGTTTAGTTGAGCCAAACTGATGACAATGACCAGGAAGCAAAATGTCAACAGACTGAGAAAAACCCTCTGGAGAATGGCAGTTTTACAGCTTATTTTATACATTAGTGGACGGATTCGTGCACATTGAAAGGAAATTAATTAGAACATTTTAATATCGCTATTCGCCCTTTCTCTATAATAGAAGTGTCAACCAAATTCATGATCGACAATGACAGATTGAAACACACGTGTGCTATTTGCACCAGCAAGAACTTTATATGTATCGTGCATGCACGAGTCAACTTAGCCATATATATATATATATATATATATATATATATATATATATATATACACACTAGAGGCCCGGTACACAAAAATTTGTGCACTCGGGGGGGGGGGGGGGCCTTCAGCCCGGCCTATGCCCTCTTGCAGTCTGGGACCCCTCGGAGGATGTCCACCTGTTGGCTTAGGCCCGCTCCCTGGGGGATTGGGCCCAAGTTGGCAGTCAGACATCCCTCTGGCAGCCAGGCAGCCCTCGGGGGATGTCCACTTCCCAGCAGGGAGCAAGCCTAAGCTGTAGTCGGACATCCTTAGTGCTGCTGAGGAGGCAGGAGAGGCTCCCACCACCACCGCTGTACTGGCAGCCATCAGCCTGGCTTGTGGCTGAGCAGAGCTCCCCATGTGGGAGCACACTGACCACCAGGGGGCAGCTCCTGCATTGAGCATCTGCCCCCTGGTGGTCATGTGTGTCATAGTGACCAGTCATTCCCAGTCTTTCTGCTGTTAGGGTCAGTTTGCATATTACCCTTTTACTATATAGGATAGAGGTCTGGTGCACGGGTGGGGGAAGGCTGGTTTGCCCTGAAGGGTGTCCCGGATCAGGGTGGGGGTCCCGCTAGGGTGCCTGGCAAGCCTGGGTGAGGGGCTGATGGCTGTTTGCAGCTGGTTACACCCCCTTCAGGGTGGGGGTCCCCACTGGGGTGCCTGGCCAGTCTGGGTGAGGGGCTGAGGGCTGTTTTCAGGCTGGCCAAGACCTCCGGCGACGGAAGCTCCAAGCCTCTCTTTTTTTTCTTTTTTTTTTATTCTGGGATTTATTTACCTTCTATAATTGAAACTTTGTATCCTTGAGAGGAGCTCAGAGCCAGCCAGGCTGGGTGGGAGGAAAGCCTCCTGCTCGCTCCAGCTCTGTGGCCACGGCCGGCTGAAAGCAGGTATCTGGGGTTTATTTACCTTCTATAATTGAAACTTTGTTGCTTTGAGTGGAGCTCAGCGCCGGCCACGGCAGGCTGGGAAGCTTGGCTTCCTCCATCATTGGGGCAACCAAACCTCCTGCTTGCTCCAGCTCCGTGGCTGCCAGTCGCCATCTTGGTTGGGTTAATTTGCAAATAGTCGCTCTGATTGGCTGGTGGGCATGGCTTAAGGCATAGTGAATGTATGGTCAATTTGCATGTTTGTCTTTTATTAGTGTAGATATGAAGTGAAGCACCCCAACTTCTCTTTCAGGTAATCGTCAGCAACACAGCAGTAAATATCAACACAAAGCAGATTATTATTGTAGGCCACACAGGGAGAACAAAGGGTAAAATATTTAACTGCAGCAGTGTTTGACTATATTCTGCACAGTGAGAAAACCTGAAGTCATTTTCAAGTTCCACTATTTCTTACTTCTTTTCAGTCGGGTCAAGTTTCTAAGCTTTCTATATTTCTGTTTTCTGGCTAATGAAAAGAAAATAGGATTCCACCGAGTCTCCTATCTACCTGCTCCAGGACTTCTGTGAGGATCAAATGAGGCATGGGAAAATGTTTCACAGACATTTGGTTAGTGTGAAATGTTTCCACCTGGCTATGAAGCAAGTTGTGTTCCTGGGCTGAAGAAACTGCAAGGAGGCTAGTCGCTAGGGAGAGGAAGCCAGGTGTTGCTACGTGATGTCATTACCCGGACAGACACTTAGCATATTAGCCTTTTATATATATAGATTTCCAGTGCACATCATATGTACTGGCCATCAGTCGGATGGTCACACAGATGTATGTCAGTCACTTAGCCTTTTATATATATAGATTAGCATCCAGGGAGGAACCAGGGAGGGTTACATGAAATCCATGGAGGTAGATGAGGAAGGTGGGAGAAAGCAAAGCAAATCTGGTTCTGGGAAAGAATAGTCCTCTGCTATTTCAAAGGTATATTTTCTTTGATGCACAAAGACAATAGACAATTTCAAAGGTAAAGATTGACCTTTGTCAAAGAAGCTACAGGCCCACGTAGCCCTCATGACCCACTTTTAGTTAGGAATTGATATCTTCAGACCACCCTGTCTCTGAGTTTGTAAGACCCACCATGCGGGCCTCCCCTGAGCTTATCACATTTAGTATGTGGCCCATTTTTCATCTAGATCAGTGATGGCGAACCTATGACACGCGTGTCAGAGGTGAGACTCGAACTCATTTTTTTGGTTGATTTTCTTTGTTAAATGGCATTTAAATATATAAAATAAATATCAAAAATATAAGTCTTTGTTTTACTATGGTTGCAAATATCAAAAATTTCTATATGTGACACGGCACCAGAATTAAGTTAGGGTTTTTCAAAATGTTGACACGCCGAGCTCAAAAGATTCTCCATCACTGATCTAGATAGTGTATATTCTACATAACAGTGTGCTACTGGCCACTTCTTCCCAGCTTCCTCATATTCAGTGACATCACAGTGGTAGCATGAAAGCAGCCAAGACAAGAGTATTTATGCCATAGATGTTGGTAAACTCTACGAATCAAGGTGCCCCCCCTCGAATGCCCTGGACATTTATACTTACATATCATGCAAAAGAGGTGTGTGTGTGTGTGTGTGTGTGTGTGTGTGTGTGTGTGTGTTTTCATAGGGAAAGAGAACCAGCAGTTCTGATTTGGATGAAAGAAAGGGAGAGGGTCAGATGACTAAGAAGTTTGACCTGTATACAAGGGTAATGGTGGTGCCATTTATTGTAAGGGGACCCATAGGTAGGGAGGCATCTAAAGGGGGAGGATAATAAGGTTTGTACTCACTGGGTTTGGGATGTCCATGGTTCATCCCAGATCATTAGGCAGTGGTTTTATGTACTTGGAGCTCAGGAGAAAAGCCTGTAATGGAGGAATGTACTTGAATCATCTGTATGCAGTTAGCACTTAAAACACGGAGCATGGGTATGGTTGCTCAAGATACATAAGTAAGTAACAAGGTCAGAATGAAAAGGGCATATTAATATTACAAGGTGAGCAAGGAGGAGAGCCAGCAAAATGGGTTGATGTAGCATGGTCAGAGACACCTGGGGATAAACAATGGCAATGCCTCTGACCTCAATGGTCCTTTGAGAGAGGGAGGCTGGCATATAAACTGAGAATCTCAAAGGAGTAAGTTCTATCAAAGGGCATGAGGAGGGTGCTTGCTTTTCATGAGAGAGCACAGAGGACCCAGCGACAAACTTGACCCACCGGGTCAAGTTTTAAAGAGAGAGGGATGAGGAGCTCCTTTGATCTGTCAGCAAAACCCTGGAAGCCCAAGACAAGAGAGAGCCCAAATGGGCAAGTTTAATTTCCTCTGAAGATTCATTTGGTTTTAAAAAAAAACCTGTCTTTTTCTAGGTATATTCCCTAAGCAGCAAATCATCACATTTTCCCCTTGAACCAAGTTATGCATATATGAGTATGTTCTAAAGTTACTTTAGATTTGTATGTAAAGGGGATCTTAAAATGTATATAATTCTAACCATCTTCCTCTGGAAAATAGTTCTTTCGTTTTCTTTTGTAAACCGTCCCAAATTTAGTATGTGACATATTCCTTTTGGGCGCTGCCCTGGAAATGGCTGTGGTGGCTAATGTTCTCCTTGCTTTCTATCTCCTTTATAAAACTCAGCCCTGCCCAAAGCCCTTTTCCTCCTCTCCTCTGCACAGGCCTTTCTATTGGTTCCTCAGAGGACAGCACACTGTTTAGATTTGGCTGGAAGTGCCTCTGAGCTCAGCAGATGCAGCAGAAGCAAGTACAGTGTATCATGTGGCCTCACTGAGCTGCCTTTCCATTAACATGCTGAGGTTGTTTAGAGGGGTCACGTCGCTTTTTGAATAACGCAGGAGATCAACAGCATAAGGCACTCAGGGGCTGCTGGTTGTTGGAGCATTTTCCATGTCACTGAATATATGGCATGGAGTGGTTTTAGCTCAGGGGAAAAAGAGCTTTGGGGAAAAATAAAAAAGGAACACTGAAGAAATTAATAATTTACTAGAATACACTAAATCCCACTGATTCAAACTCCTATTGAATTTTTGATGCTACCCTCTGCAAAGCTAGATTAAATTTTAAAATTGTTTCTATCTTTAGGTATTGATTTCCCCCTCCCCCTTTCTTTAACCATTGAGCATTTGCAAGGATATCACACCACACATGCTCCAGATCACCACAGGAAGTTAGTAAAGGGTAACTACTACTTTGCCTCTACTTTTCTTCCTAAATCCCCATGGATTGCATTCATCAGTTCCTCACAGGACTGCTCTGTGCATACTAAAAGCAAAAAGGTAGTGACTCCTATGTTTCGTTCTATTTGTGCTGTACTTAATTCCTACACTTTATTATCTAGGTTTATACTGTCATTTTACAGATGAAGAAACCTCAGGGAGGGTAAGTATATTGTATCACAGAGCTAGTAAATGGTGGGCCAGGGTTGAAATCCACTCTATAGTCTGTCAGTAACCATTATACATACTATTCTTCCTCCACAGATGTACTATGAATCTGTAATCGATTTATTACATTTTATTGTAGTTATATAACATGGCTCGGGCCCTTTCCTCATCTTTGTAATCCTTGTGCCTGGCAGTGACTGGAATAGCTCTTCTGCCATCCACTATCAACTCCTTCTAGCACCAGGCACTGTGGCACACACAATTCACATATTTATCTGTGATTTTTGTTTGGTATAAAAGATAACTCAGTCTGCAGTTTTATTGCCTTGTAGGACATTAACCTGTTTCATATCTGTGTCAGGCTTCCTAAAGACCACTTCTAGGTTTGATTTGTTAGGACTCGGCATATAACTGTACTCACCGCTACAATTTAGACAGCAAAAGGATAGAAAGCAAAATCCACAAAGGGCAAAGAACCTGAGGTGAAATCTGGAAAAACTGGGCAAGAAGCATCAAAGAATCCTCTCCCAGTGGAGTCACACTGGATGAACTTAATCCCAGTCGTGTTGTGACAGCCCAGAGTTTTTACTGGGAGCTGGCCACTTAGGCAATCTCTGCCTGGCACCTATGCCAGACAAAATTCCAGACTCCCAGAGGCAAGCAGGTGTTCAGCACAAACCACATTGTTTGCACAGACAGTTTATGCACAGTGAGCCACTTTTATCAGTACTGGGAACCCTCCTAAAATTCAAGTTCCCAGATGCCAGCCAAGGGCCAATCTGGTATGCAGGTCTCTGAGGATAAGTTGTCAGGCTGCTGCTATGTTAACCCTTTTTGGCACAAGAATTTTATCCCAGCATTCTTTCTACATGTTGTCAACTTTGTTTTATTTTGACAGACATAACTCTAGCAAGCTAAATAAAATCCAACCAAACCTAAATCTAAAATACACCAACTCAATAGTAGAGACTGACTACTGCAGTTATTAAAAAAAAACAAACACACCACCTTGTATTTGTATTTAATATTTCCTTACTATATTTGCACTTCTGAAAGTCCTTTAACTTAGATGGCAAGTACGTGCCTATTGAAATCTAAGGCACATATTAATAATAAATGTTTCTGCAGGTAGGCAATACTATGTAATGATAATTCCCTCTTTAGAATATGAAATATATTAAAATTTCCCCATTTAAATATATTACATATAAGCCAAAACTTAGAAATGATATAACCCCTGTATATCACTGTAGCTTTGAGCCTTTAAAAAAGATAGCCTTAATTTTAAGTTTAAATATAACATGCATAAGTCTTTATTTTTTGAACTTTATTATGCTTCAGATGTTTCTCTAATCATTTCAAGTTTATTTTCCTATATTTTGTGAATTGATTTTAAAATCAGAATTTTAGAAGTCTCCATATACAATGATACCAAACAAAATATGAAAATTTTAAGCTTTATTAATAATTCTAAGGAGACCAGAACACAATTAAAAGCTGACACAGTTAACAAAAGCATTAGAAGTTAAACATCTCTTGAATAAAAATATAGGAAATATAATAATGAAAAAAAAATCAGGGACTGAAGGAAGAAGAAAATTTTCCAATTTTCTAGCAGCTGGTATATTCCGCCCTCTGATTCTGTAGGTTCTATATCTCTGGATTTAACCAACCACGGGTCAAAAATACTTAAAAAAAGAAAAACTCCAGAAGGTTGATTCCTAAAACAATACAGTATGATAACTATTTACAAAGCATTTGCATTGGAGTAGATAGTACAAACAACCTAGAGCTGATTTAAAGTGTACAGTAGGATGTGTGCAGGTTAGACGTAAATACTATGCCATTTTTCTATAATGGACTTGAGCATCCTCAGAATCTGGTATCCAAGAGGTGGAGGGTGTCGTGGAACCAATCCCTAGAGGGTATAGAGGAACAACTGTACTTTCTTGACAATTTATATCACTTAAGTGCAAAGACATCATTAAATAAAACCTCATGTGATATCTACAAAATAATGGTAAGAGGAAAAAAACCTAATATCAGGATCTTCTGGATCCACTAGTTTATATACCAATTACAAAAGTGATTCTAGGTAACTACAGTTGAAAGCCTATCAATTAAGTCATCAATAGTGCAAACAAGAAGATGAATGTCTGCTTTTTCTTTCATTCGGTGATCACCATGTTTCCGAAGGATGACATCTACATCTGTGCTGACTACTCGGTCAGCAATCTGTATGGCCGTGTGCCAAGATACAGCATCATCCTTCATGCAATGGAGCAATCTTATAGGACAGTTCACAGGAATAGGGCTATGTAATAAGCAGTGGTGTTCAGCTTCTTTAATGAAACTATGCTGAATGTGATAAACTCCTTCTTCATTGTATTTTGATGGCATACTCCACACGCCTTTCATCTCTATTTCCTTTTGTGCCTATTGAAAAAAATTAGGAAAATAGAAGTATTTATGAAATACTAACACATGCAACAGTATTAAACAATATAAGAATTTAAATAGAAAAATATGTACAATATAATATATATATTTAGGCATTTTAATGTCTTTTTTAATACCAGAAAGATTTGATTCAGTGAAACTGAGTGGTTGAAATCCATTTATTTCAGTGAAAAGCTGTATATCTGAAAGTTATACTTCTAAATATGTCTCAAATGATTTGAAAACAACAAATTCAAAAAATATAAAATGCATAAAACTATAGTATTATCATGGGGTTTTCTGCATTAAAAAACATGTGAACCAAATATTTAAAGCAAAAATGATACTCAGTTGTCTTTAAGCTATTCCGGATTGCTCCTGAATTTGTAATTTCAGTAATTAAAACTTAGTTTCAGCCCTAACCGGTTTGGCTTAGTGGATAGAGCATCGGCCTGTGGACTGAAGGGTCCCAGGTTTGATTCCGGTCAAGGGCATGTACCTTGATTGGGGGCACATCCCCAGTAGGGGGCATACAAGAGGCAACTGATCGATGTTTCTCTCTCATCAATGTTTCTAACTCTCTATCCCTCTCCCCTCCTCTCTGTAAAAAATCAATAAATTTTAAAAAAAACTTAGTTTCACTGGTTATTAAATAAAGTGAAAACTATGCTAATTATTGAGACACAATAATGGCTGCATTTTAAACATCCCTACTCAAATAGCTGTTATCTGCCACTGAATTGAATGAATGTTGTTCATCTGAAGAACAAACTTCACAGAATGTTTTATGTCCTGAATCCTCAAAAAAAAAAAAAAAAAAGTTCAGAAATAGCAAAAATAGTGTTAACCAAAGAAAATGTGCAATATGCATGAGTTCTACACCAAGAAACGGTATCAAGGCAATGTGGTTGAGAAGCTTGGTTTCCAAACAGCTGTACATCCTGTCTGACGCCCTCTAGTGTCCAAAGAAGGAGACGATGATTAGCGTCAGTAGAGAGGTACATCAAGTTCCTACACAGTGAGAAAT